CATGACACCACCATGGCCATGAAATGATGAAGGCCTTGAGATGACCATGACTGTGGCCATGACAGGATCTTGACCAAGAGGTGACCGTGAGATGACCACAGCACACTGTGGCTATGTGGTGATCAAGACCATGAGATGACCATGACACCTCCATGGCTGTGAGATGACCGTAATGCGGTTATGGCCATGAGCTGACCAGGAGCTGACCAGGAGCCGGCCATGGTCTGGAGCTCCCCGGACCCCGTCACTGCCCCCACCTCAGGTTCATCCCGAACTGAAATTGTTCATTTCCATGGGTAATACGGCAATCTGAGCAGGGCGCAGCCAATGGAGCGCCGGGGAATCAGTGACGTCACAAGTTGCCAGGCAGAACAGATCTCTCCTTCCCGCCGTTGGCACGGCAGCCAATGGGAAACCGCGCGTTCGGTGACGTCATCGCGCTAACGCGGAAGTAGCGAGCGCGGGGGCTGCCGGGACAGGGGCGGTGGACGAAGGTCGTGATCGATCCCGATCGATCCCGATCGATCCCGATCGATCCCATCGCTCCCATCGATCCCGGTCGGCAGCGATTGATCCCCATCGGTCCCATCGCCCCCCGGCTCTCCCCCGCCGCGATGTTCTTCACCTGCGGCCCCAACGAGGCCATGGTGGTGTCGGGTGAGTTCGGGGGGCCCGGGGGCTCCTGGGGTCCCCCAAAACTCCCGGGAACGCCCAGAATCCTCCCTAAACCTCCAGGGAACCCCCCCAAAACTCCCAGGAACCCCCCGAATTTCCCCCCAAACACTCCTGGGGACCCCCAGCATCCTCCCCCTCAAAATCTCCTGGGAACCCCCAAATCCCCCAAAATTTCCCAGGAACTCCCAGAAACCCCAAAAACTCCCGGAAAACCCCAAAATCCCCTCGAAGCCCTCCAGGGAACCCCTGGCATCCCTCCCCCAAAATTCCTGGGAACTCCCCCGGGACCCCCAAACCCACGCGGGGACTCCTTGGACCCCCCCCAACCCCCCCAACCCCCCCAGGGACCCCCCAAACCCCACCCCGAGGGTCTCCCCCAATCCATTCCCCCACCCCAGGCCTCCTGGGGTCCCTCCCCCAAATTTTCCTCCCAAATTCCCCTCCCAAAAATTCCTGGAGGTCTCCCCCAGACCCCTCCCCGTGATTCTTGGGGATGTCCCCGTGTCCTCCCCGGGGTTTTGGGGTCCCCCCGGGGTTTTGGGGTCCCCCCCAGCTCTCGGTGCCCCCCAGGTTTCTGCCGCAGCCCCCCGGTGATGGTGGCCGGGGGCCGGGTGTTGGTGATCCCCTGCCTGCAGCAGATCCAGCGGTGAGCAGGGGCTGGGGGGGTTTTCTGGGGTTCAGGGGGGATCCCCCGAGATTTGGGGTGACCCCCCCGGCCCCCCCAGGATCTCCCTGAACACGCTGACGCTGCCCGTGCGCAGTGAGAAGGTTTACACCCGCCACGGGGTGCCAATCTCCGTCACCGGCATCGCCCAGGTAACCCCAGAATGCTCCAAAAGCCACCTCAAAGTACCCCCAAAAATACCCCAAAAACATCCCAGAAATCGTCCCAAAAATCCTCTCCTGGATCTCCAAAATCCCCTATCGGAACTGCCAAAAATCCTCCAAAAATCCCCTCCTGGACTACCAAAAATACCCTAAAAATCCCCACCTTGGCTTCCTAAAGTCCCCACTTTGGAATCCCCAAAAATCCCTTCCTGGACACCCTAAAAAATCGCCCATCAAAACTCCAAAAATCTCCTTCTGGACCCACAAAAATCCCCCAAAAATACATTCAGGATGCCCCAAAATCCCCACCGGGATCTCCAGAATGTCCCTCAGAAACCCCAGTCCTCCCTGGTCCCCAACAGCCACTGGGACTCTGAACACCTCATTCAGAGCCCCCAAAAATCCACTCAAACCCCAGAGTCACTTTGGGAACCCCAAGAATTCCTCTCAGGACCCCCAAAATTCCCTAGGAACTCCCATAATCCTCCCCCTGAACCCCAAATATCCCACACAGGTACCCCGAAAACCCCCTCGGGACCCTAAAACTCACACTCTGAGCACCTGAAATCTCCTTGGAGCCTTCCAGAAATGCTCCAGGACCCCCCAAATTCGCCCTGGCACCCCCAAATTTCCCCGGGAACCCCCAAATCCCCCCCGGGGCTCCCCTGCCCCAACCAACCTGGGCGGCGTTGCCCTTTTAATGGAGGTTGTGGTGGGGCCCACCTAAGGGTGTTCTTAAAGCGGCAATCGTGGTGCAAAACAAAGGCGGGAAGGGGAGGAGCCCTTTAAAGGGGGTTTGGAGTGGTGGGGCCCACCGAAAACATTTAAAGGGGTAAAAACACTCCTAAAAAGGGAATTTAGGGGTGGGGAAATCCCTTGAAAGGAGCTCCAAGTTTGGGAGATCCCCAAACCCTGGGATGGGAGGGGGAATTCTCCTTAAAAAGGGGATTGGAGTGGTGGAACCCAAAAAATCTTTGAGAAGGGAAAAACTCTTAAAAAACCCTTAAAAAACCTATTAAAACCTTACAAACTTTTTAAACACCCTTTAAAACACTTTAAAAAACCTTAAAAAACTAAAAGTTTGTGATGGGACAACCTCCCTAAATCCTTCTTAAAGGGATCAAGGTCCAATCCTTGATCAGGCTTGGGGTGGTGGGGACCCCAAAAACCTATGGGGGGGGTCTTGACCTCCCTTATAAAGGAACTTGTGTTGGTGGGGACTCCTTTAAGAGGGGTAAGACACCCCCAAAAATGGCCTGGGGTTGGTGGGGACCCCCAAGCCCCCTCCAAGAGGATGAGACCCCTTAAAATGGTCACGCCCTGGTGGTCCCCACCGTCAAGCAACCAGCCTCTTAAAAGGGCAATGCCATGCCTACACCTTAAAAGGGCCGTGGCAATTTTGGGGGATACTAGGGGCGGCTGGGGGATCCCCAGGTGATCCCAGTCCCCCCTCAGGTGAAGATCCAGGGGCAGAACAAGGAGATGCTCGCAGCTGCCTGTCAGATGTTCCTGGGAAAATCGGAGAGCGAGATCGGCCAGATCGCCCTGGAGACGCTGGAGGGCCATCAGCGTGCCATCATGGCCCACATGACTGTGGAGGTGGGGCTGGGGGGAGCCATGCCCATTTTGGAGAAGCCACGCCCCTTCCAGAACAGCCACACCCACTTGGGAGCCAACCAAACGCTCCCCACTTGGGATGAGATGTGTCCCTTTTAAGAAGGCCCAGATCTCAGGAGCCACGCCCCTGAGGTGGCCGTGCCCACCTGGATGGACACACCCCCTCAGGGACAGGTCACCCATTCCCTTTGGGGTGGGATGTGGCCTTTTAAGAAACCTCTCCCCCATTTGGCCCATAAGCTCCACCCCTTGAAAGGCCCCACTCCTGGAGGAGGCCACACCCACTGGTGAAGCCACACCCCAAAGATGCCACTCTTGTTAAAGCCCCACCCACCTGCTCACAATTCTCCTTCCCTGGCCCCACCCCCTTTAAAGCCACACCCACACCTGCCCCATCCCTGCCATGTCCCGCCTGCCATCTTGGCCCTGTCCCAGTATAAACCCCACTCCATCTCACAGCCACACCCACCAGCCCCCACCCCATGACTCAAGCCACACTCCCCAGGCCAACCCACGCCCCTGCCTTAATCCTGACCCCCCCCTCAGTTTGGGCCATGCCCACCTGGCTCCACCCAGTACAAACCACACCCATGGCTCCACCCCTTGCACAAACCACACACAACTCACACCACCTCCTTGCTCCAGCTATGCCCGTTTTGGGTCAAGCCACACCCGCTAAGCTGAGCCATTCCCCTCACTCCACCCTGGGGTCAAGCCACGCCCCTTTGGCTCATTCCAGGCCCCAAAGCCTCAAGCCACATCCCCAATCCCAAGCCATGCCCACCTGGCTCCACCCCTTGGTTCAAGCCATGCCCATTTTGTAGCTAGCCGTGCCCACTGGGTCAAACCACGCCCCCCTATCCCACACCTTTGTACAAGCCACACCCCCAAATAAAGGCACAGTAACTTGGCTCCACCCATTGTCCAAAGCCACGCCCACCTGGCACCTCTGGATAAGCCACGCCCACCAGCCCCGTGCCCTTTCTCTGCTAAGCCCACCTTATTTTGTCCCTGCCCCTTTGAGCCCCACCCCACTAAACCCCACCCAGTTTGAGCCTCAAGCTGTTTAGCCCTGCCCCGCTGAGCCCCACCCTGCTAACCCCCCCCCCTCTGGGCTGCACCCTGCTAATCCTCGCCCAACTTGAGCCCCACCTTACTGAGCT